TTTTTTTAATGGACATTGCAAAAAAAAAAGTTAACTCCTGTTTTGTTTTCGTCTTTCATCTTAGTTAGTTCTTGCCAAAAAAAAAAGTTAACTCCTGTTTTGTTTTCGACTTTATCCCCTGATTTGTTTAGTTTTGGATTAGAAATTTGGCCGTTACTCGTCTCTCTGGGAAAATGAGGAAAACAACTCACTGACAAGAGAAGTTCGGATGATGGAAAACTGCCTCCACACACTGAGGAAAGTCTTAAAAAGAGACTCAAAACCTCCTTTTTTTAAATGGAAATTGCAAAAAATATATTAAATCCTGTTTCGTTTTGGTCTTTTATCCCCAGATTAGTTCAATTCTGGATTCGGAATTTCTGTAATTTACCTTCCCGGACGCAGACATGGCCCGGGCCCTCTCCCCGTGGTTGTAGGTGCTGTAGGGGGGGGGGCAGCAGGCCGTTCTCCGTCCCCCCGGAGGCCAGCTGCGTGCCCACGCCTCCGTCCTGTCACAGATAAACCGGTCAGTGTGTGGCGTGCTGGACACAGGCCTCAATCCACCGGGAAATCCCGCATTCAACACGTCCATCCTCTCATTTTGCCCTCCTCTTTCTGAGCAGCTACAAAGAGGTGGGAGGAGTGTTTGTGCTCTTTACATAAAAGGTGGGAGGACTAGGAAAGCCACAAGAGCCATGTTGTTTCCCCAATTCGTCCTACTCGCTGAATTATTTGAATATGCCGGACTTGAACAGAAGAAGTCGTTGTTCAGATTTAAAAATAATATCCACGAATCCTGTGGATATCTATATTTGTAATAATTCAAAGGAACTAACAAGGAAAAATTCCTAGGAATGAAACGCCAGTGAGTAAATGGCTCATTTTGGAATAATTAGAGAAGATAAACGTGGCATAAGATGCGTTCAAGTCTGTGGGATATGAGAGGATCACATGTGAGGAGAGAATACCGAGAGGATGTGCAACATGTGGATAATCTTTGGAAAAAGAGAGGCCCACTGACACTAAATCTGCTGCAAAACCCTTTGTCTAAAGAATGAGAAATGTTTGTCAGAGGCTCAATTCCATCAATTTTCTATAATATAAATCAAAGTTAGAGTAAATGAAAATCTTGAGGTAAGTTGAGGTAAAGTTTTCTATCCAAGTAAAAACACAACATTTTTGGGGGGGAGAAACAGCGTTTAAAAATACTGTTTTGGTCATAAAAATGGAGAAAACGCTTACCACAGATCCTAAAGTCGGCATTTAGGGAGTCACTTTAGTATCTAATGAGATCAGGAATTGATGCCACTTTATAGGAGCTTTTAACTACAAATCGTTGCCGATCTTTAAAAGAAAGTCCCAACTATTTATTCTTAGGCCGCAAAAGGCTGTGCAGCAGGAAATACCAGAATTAGTGATGTACTGTCACATTTGTACCCACGTTTTGGGGGTCAAAGAGGAATGAAAATTAAGAATAATCCATTCACAAAAACATTAGTGCACGCGTGAAAACTCACAAACAGTTACTTCATGGAATGAGTTTAGGAGTTTAGATTGAGCTGAGGAACTGATGAGGGTCAGTCATGTGTGATAATAACGGGTCTGGAGATGCTGTGGTGGGGGGGGGGGGGGGGGGATCCACGGTCAGACTGATGGGGCACACACGGCCAGAAAAGAGGAACAAACACAGGACGGCACTCGGGTTTTGAGGGGATGGACGAGCGGGGTTTTTTGTTTTGGTTTTTTTTCTCACGGTGGTCAGATCCCGGCGGCTAGCGCGGCGGCTCTGAGCGGGGTGGTGGCCGTGGTAACCATGGCGACCGCGGCGGGAGGGGGAGTTGCCCTCGCTGAGGGAGCGCCCGCCCTCGTCGCCGGCGTGCAGCAGGTAGGGCGAGGAGGAGCGCTACACACAGGAGTTTTGGGAAGATTTTCTGGAGTTAGCAGAGGGCTGGTGAGCACGTTGCCATGGAGACTGCATTTCAGTTCAGATCCCAAAGACTTTGGGGGGATTCTAACTACCAAAAACACACCTGAGCGTTGGGAAAAAGCATGGAGCATCTACTCAGCAATAATGCTTAGCTGTAGCAAACCCAGCTCCCACTTTTATAGAGATTTATAAAAGCATCCAGAGAGCCACCGAAGGTCCAGCCTTCTGATTGGCTGCCTGGGTTCAGGTGCGGGACGAGGATAAGCACGCCACGCCACAATGGGGAGATTATCAGGGAGCTATGACTTGAAAATCCAAAGGAAAACCCCAATAAAGCCAATAGTGTTGGTAAATATGTCGTATAGGACAAAATCACGTTCTTACTTTTTACATGTTTATACTCTGATGGTGTTTGCGTGTGCACGTGTTACCTGAACGTGCACGCCCTCCACGGCACGGTTGATCGAGTCCAAGGAGGGAACGTGTCTGACCGATCCGGACTGGTAGCTGCTGCCAAAACAAACGTGTTTAGACCACCTTTTTCACAACATCATGAGGAAAAATATGGTGCTCAAAACTGCTTTTTGAACCATTTAGAAGCACTTATTTTACTATAACTATAAGCTTTATTGACAAAATAGCTAAAGGTTAACGAAATATCCAGTAATTTAGTAATAAAATTTTAGCCTAATTAGTTTTCTATTCTTTAGAATGATCTTTAAATATTCTACACTCATTTAAAGTAAATTAAAGTCAGTGTTTATTAAAGATAATTATAAATGAGGAGATTTAAAAGGATGATTAGGCTGAATTATGTGATACTGAAAGCAAAGTTTGACTTATTTTCACCACAATCAACACATAAAACTGGAATAAACCCCCTAAATGAATAAATGACAGTACAGGGTTTGTCTTATATTGTGACCTCTGTGAGAAATGTGATGTGATTGTTTAATTTTTATGCTTTTTACTGAGTTGTCTAGTTGCATCTTTGGCTGTAGGAAAGCAGGAAGAGGATCTCTTACTCCCGTGTGGACTCTCACCTGCTGACGCTGCCCTTCCTGGACAGCGTGTTGCTGGGAGAGGCCGGTGGCGTCTGATAGCTGTAGCTGAAATCAGAACCTTTCAGGTCCAAAATCACCTGAGAAACAAACACACACACACATTTAAACCCCTGAAATTTAGCTCATACTGAAGCTTATTTCAGCTTTTAGTTGAGTCTTTCATGTTGAGGCAGGAGGGGACGAGGCTGGTTTGAGAAATGTTTTAAGGGGCGAATTGCACACTGATTAGCTTTAGAGCTCAACTCAAATCATGTGACCAATAAAATCTTAACATTTACTTGTGATGCTTATATTGTTTATTATATGTTCTTTCTTATGTATTTGCCTGCCTAGGGACTACAGATGAAAATTAGCTTTGTAGCTATAATCCGGCATATTTACATTTGTTTTTATACTGATGTTCACTAATGTGCTTTGTCCCTATTCAAATAAATATATACATTTAAAATATTTTAACTTGAATTAAAATCAATCACCTGTTCGCTGGCTGGTGGGAGCTTGTGGGGCTCGGCCGTGAGGTGGGACAGGTCCTCCAGGATGGTCTGCAGGTGGGTCACCTCTCCGAGCATGTTGATCTCATGGTCCTGCAAAGCCAAAGGGGGGGGTTTAGCGGCCTGGTCCGGTTAGCCCGGGCCGCTGTGAGAGCAGAAACCACCCACCAGCACGGGCTTCAGCATGCCCACGAAGCTGCAGTAGCGCGCCCGCTCCTCCACCAGCGCCCGGCACACGGCGCGCTTCTCCGCCTCCTCCAGCACGGCGTAGCGCACGTTCACGTCCTGCAGGGCGCTGTCCAGCTGGCCCCGGGCCTCGCCCTTCCCTAAAGATACACAACACACACAACAGAGAGCAGAGAGCAGAGGCTGAGGCTGGGAAACGCACACAGAAACACCCGGACACAGACTGGAGGTTTCTGAAGGTACCGGACCCCCCAGTTTAGGATGAGCATTCACTGGACCTTCTTTAGAGATAAAAAAAATTATGTTTTTTTTTCCAAATTCAAGACACAGGTATGTGTTTTTTTACTGTTTCATAAAATGAGACGCACATGAACATCAGTTTGCTCAGAAAACAAAACCAACACAGTGTATAAAAGCTCAACAAATTATGGGATTATTTTATTCTGGCCACCCAAAAATATTTCGTCCCAATAAAAGAATTTTAACCCCCAAAAAATTTTTTTTTTTTTACTATTTTACACATTTTTAAAAAATTGGATTTTTAAAAAAATGTAAAATGTTTTGATAAGTTAATTTTTTTTTTATTTTAAATGTAATTTTAGTTTTGTCGGTGGAAGACTAGAGTTGCTCAACTTGGCGTTGCACATCATGAAGACAGGACTCCGACTCCCGTTGATATAAAACAGGTTAAGAACCACTGACAGAAGCATGAAAACTCAGAGAACGAGCAAAAAACTGCAGGATTGCAAGGCCTACAGAGATTAAAATACTCCTCAAACCTTGATGTGAATTCATTGAATTAGTAGAAGAAGATGATAGTGCTAATCAAATTAGATGACATAGTTTTTTGGGGGTTTTTTTTTTGTAAATAGACATCACAGACAGTGTGTTTCTATGGAAGGTTCAGGCTGCGTTACCCAGATGTCACCAGCAGGGGTCAGAATAACTCCATTGAAGCTACACAAACACTTACACACACACAGAGACACACACACAGGCCTACACACACCGTGCTGAGCGTCAGCTGTTTGCCCCACAGAGGCTGCCTGACCTTATCCTCCCGTTTTGGGCCGAAACCCAGCGCTTAAACTGTGACAAACGCAATGAGAGTGAATCCAGATTCGTCCATCTGTTGAATATTCATCGTTTCTTCACTACGGCTGACCGCTAAATCACCAAAGCTATCGAGAGAGGGCCGTAACCATGCGAGTCTGAGCCACGGAAACAGATGAGTTCATGGTTTTGAGCCCTTTTCTGGCCGTAAATCATAGTTAAAACAGAATGCCTTGCCTTATCCGAAACCTCCACAAAGCAGACTCTTCTTCTGCTCTCTGAACTACAGGCTGTAAATAGGAGGGCCCCCAGATAAATAAAATGTTAGCCGTTGTGCACCGTGAAGCTTAAACGTGGAAAACAGTAGAGTCTCTATTTGGAATCGGCTCATTTAGATTATGACCAATCCGAATAAATTGGATAAAAACAAAGAAAAAGACTTCTCCAGAACATGAAGATTATGTGTCGGCAACCAAATCTGTGTTTAAGGATTTAGGAGAAGCTTTTATCCAAAGGCCACAAACTATAGTTATGGTATATAACTATATAGTTATAGTATACTAGTTTGAATCAACCTAAAAATAAGATAGAGATAAAGAGAGAGGCACAGAAAGAGTAGTAGCCTTTGATGGAACAGGACTTTTGGATGGAGACTTTGGTATTCACATCCAAACTGAACCTCTCCGTAACATCTAAGCTCTAAACTGTAACTTACAGAGCTGGTCGGCCATCTTTGATCTCATTTCTCCACAAACACTACAGACTTTAATCCTGTTGGATTTGGTCATTTCACCCATTTCAAAATCGGACGTGTCATAGCTTGAATTTTCTAAACATGACACTGATGGTTCTACACAGTCTTTAGGCTGATTAAGCTGTGATGTAAGACTGCCTTTATTAATTCATCAACATATGTGCCCCTGATCTAAACTTAAACTCAATAATTCAGAATCCCTGCTGTTTTTACGCACAAATCAGGCTGAATTTCATGTACACAAGGCCTATTGTCCCATATAAGGTAACATTTGTGCTACTATGTTGGAAACAAGTCAACTATAAGGCGAAAGATGAAACTGTGTTATTTTTATGAATCATGCATGAATCAGTCACTTGTGACTCTTTGCTACCATTAAAAATACTGAAATGCTTCAAAACCACTCAGTGATTTTCCATCGACTTAAAAATCTTTAAAGGAATATCTGCTTTTTAAAGTCTATTATTGAATTTATTAGAAAACTAAATGGGAAATACACGCTGACGTGTTGGACACGAGTTCAACAAAAGGTCAAAAAACAACTTTGGTGATCCTTAAACGAAAACAGTCTGGATCCCTTTGACCCGGGGAGGCGAAGTGTGCGGTAAATGGGAAGATTATCTGAAATATGTGGGTTACAGTGTCCTTCTAGGGTTAGATTTCATTACAAAAGGCATCTTTGACATGTTAGTTTACGGTTTTAGGCTTAATACCTGAGACGAGTTCACAAAATCTAAAGCAGAAACCAACATAAATCCAAAAGTCTTTCCTCTAAAGGAGCACCTTTTCATAACAGAACACCAGAAACCTGAAAAAACTAACCGCTCTCAACTCCCGCCTGATATTTTGCTGAATTGTTCCTCAGTTTTTGGGAGTATTTTTCCAGAAAACAAGCGAAACCTCTTCATCTTCGGCAGGAAAAACAGGGCGGCAGACGGTAAATCCGCTGGAAAACACTGCGAGCTCTGTGCCTCCGACCCAGTCCAAACACAGGCTGTTCGCTCAGGTGTGGGAGCGGGGAGGAGAAGGAGTCGGAGGATTATTTCCACGCTGCTGACAGAAGCTCAGTGTTGCCTCGCTGACGTCTGGCCTCTGAGGAAACAGGCGGGCTGTGTGCCTCCCGGTCGGGTTCCTACACAGACACAAAGGCCCGCTCTGCTCGCTGGGAATCAGGTGAGAAACAGTTCAAATCCAGCTCCCACCAGCCAGGAACCGCACTAAAATGACGTCTAACCCTGAACTTTAAAACTTAAACTCATCCCCCCTTTGGTTTTCCATCTACTCTGAGATCTTTACTCACTTTTGCCCGTATTCTGCTTCTTTAAGACCCTCCATCTTTTAGTTTGACTCCACTTTATCTTAATCCTGGAGGTCTTAACCATGTCGTTCGTCACTTCCTCCCTTCTTTGGGACTTCCATAATCTATATTTTCCTCTTCAGAAACACTTCTATTCCCACTCTGACTGCAGCTCAAATCTTCTTTGACACAGCAACCACAAAAGGAGTCATTCACAAAATGACTTGAACCTGTCCTCTCCTCTTCAATTATCAATTATCTACTCTGTGATGGATTATTGTATATTATTTCTGGTAACAGTTTTGCACAGGCCTAAAAAACCAAAGCCAATGAGCAATTCGAACCTTTAACATTTAAGAAATGTGAAGAAATGAAGCTCAAACACACAGAATCCAGAGCTTAATTCTCAATTTAAGGTAAAAAAATTCACATTTTGTTGCTCTTATATGTCAGAAAATCCCTCCACAATACGAATTGTAAACAAGATGCCCTTTTGCCTCCATGTTAAATCCATGTAGAGCACAGGGAGTGTCCCACCGTCTATCTATCTATCCGAGTCGGAGATTCCCCTTCCCTAACGTGGCCCGGCACCACATAATGACGGATGTATGATTCCCACACACAGAATCACATGAGGTGATTAGGGAGGGAACAGATGTTTACTGTTTATTCCAGCGTCCTCCGTGGCACCAGGGCCCGCTTTTTACCCACGAGAGCTTTTTCTGAGATCACACGGCGGCATAAATCTAAACTTTTAAAACCCCCTACAGCCCGGAGGGATCGGAAAGAGGTGGGACTGTGATTAAGGCCTGCTCTGTGAGCATCCGAAACAATTCCGAACGAGTAAACTGACAAAAAAAAGAGGAAGATTCGTCATGAAAAAGCTTGATAAGTTGGATAAGAAGCAAAACTTCCAGGTGATGAATAGATTCGGGCTGAAAACGGCAGGGTTTCTGTTCAGAAAACGTCCTGATCGGAGCATAAAGACGCTCCAGTTGGGTCTGTTACGCATTACACGCCGTCTTCACCCACACGGGATAATTATAACCCCAAACCCCGACTGGTGAGTGTACGGGAGGAGCTTTGGGACGCTGAGCAGGAAGAGAAAAGGCAGCGGGAGGGGGATATGTCCTTGTGAGCTTGAGTGTTTGTAGATGTGTGCCTGATTCGTCATCTGTGGCTTTTCAAACGTGTCTCCGTGACGTAACCCTCAGAGGGAGCTCTCTCTCGTTCTGTTTAGGACCCACAGCCATGTCCAATTCAGGGTATCTTAGACAAACGGCCTCCTTTCTGCACACTAAATACAGCAGAACCTCGACTTATAACGCCTAAACGTACGAATTTTCCAACATCCGAAGTGAAATTCTATCAAATATTCGACTCGACATCCGAAGTAAATTTCAGACATGACGTTAAAGTCATAGAAAACAAATGTAAGTATAAAAATTAAGTAAAAATGAATAAGATAAGTTAGTTTAAAGTTCAGGTAGTGAAAGTTAGAGTAAGTTAGGGCACGTCCTCTATCTCCATTCTTCAGTCTCTGAGGTAAAGTGCCAATATAACCACTTTTATAGATTATTTCTTTATAATTTATTTATTTTTACATCTCTCTTATATAATACATTTGATTTATTGATATATTTAATTATCTGAAGTATTTATTAAAGAGTTATCGTAGGTTTTTGGGCTGGGGAACCAATTATAGGATTTATAGAGTATTTTAATAGGAATATTTGAACCAACATACGAATATTTTAACATATAAAGTCGGTCCTGGAACGAGTTAAATTCCTAAGTAGAGGTTCTACTGTATTAAAGTAAAAAAAACGCTGAGTAAGAGCCCCCCCGCTGGGTGGAAAACCCTCCAAAAAACAAAGTCGGCCTTAGGCCGCCTTGTTTGATCGAACCGAGGAATAAAACAAAAGCACAAAGCGAGCTCAGAGAGGTGGAACCACATCAGACGCTGGTCTGTTTACTCTGGGCGCGTCTGGAGCCGGTGGTGCGTTCAGGGTCCCGGGTTTCTCTCCGGAGAGAGAACACAGAGATGGCATTTGTTTACGGTTTCGTTAGGATTCGGTTTGTGTGTCCGCTGACGAGCACAGACGGGGTTTTTCTGCACGTGGGAGAGTCTCAGTTCTCTGCTAGCAAACACAGACCACATTCCTCCCTCACACGCTTTCCAGCGTGTGCGATTATGGGATGGAAAGGCGAAACGCGGGGTGTGTCGGCCCGATAGCAGAGCAGGGCGGGGGCCAGGTGTCTGCCTGGGGGGCGTGTCCACATTTCTGTGGCAGGCGTCCAATCAAACCGGCCTCGGAGCGCCATCTACACGCCATCTACACGCCATTTACGCAAACCAGTCCGGAGCCGGGGCTCAAAAAGCCCCGAATTACTATTACTATGCGATAAGTCAAGATTATTTTTTGTGTAGTCTTCTGCCCCCTGTTATCAGGTGTATCTGATTGTGTACAATAGGATTTTGAGCAAAGTTTTTACCATTAAATCAAGCAAAAGGTGTCAGAGGCAAAACATTTCAGAAACCGTACGTATCAAATATGATACATTTGGCGTTATAGGGTTAAAGCCTGATCCAAGACAAATAGGAAGAATATTGGATTTTTTTTAGTCTGAAGTCTTTCTTTGGCCCCTCAACCACATATGAAGAAAAAAAAAAAAAGAAATTATTTTGATTGTATTGATTATATTGTGCAATAAGTCAAAAATGTATTTTGGTGTAGTCTTCTACTGGCTGTTATCAGGTATATCTGAATGTGTACAACAGGGGTTTGAGCAAAGCTTTTACCACTGAATGATGCAAAAAGTCTCAGATCCAAAAGACTCCAGAAACCGTATGTATCAAATATGACACATTTGGCATTATAGGGTTAAAGGGCTTAAGTTTAAAGTAATTCCACAGTCTCTGATGACCGAGGAAGCAATAGCATTGGTCCCTGTTGGCTATTGGGGCAGAAAAACGTGCTCTCAGAGGGATTTTCTGCCCCCGGGGGCCGTCAGGTGGCCGACAGGAGGAGGGAGGGAGAACCGGGATCTTAAAGGGCATTTTTCTGAGCAACCGGGGCAGGATGAAACAGGCTTCCCCCGTTTGATGCTCCACTCTGATTCTCCGGTTCAGGCGCTAAAGGCCGAAAGCTGCAGAAAGCCGTCTGGGTCTGGAGGAAAAAGGCCCTGCTCACCTTTCTTCACCTTCTTCTGCAGTTTGATGGTGTCGGATGACTTCTTCTTGATGTCTGCTCGGGCCTTCTTGTACTCTGAATTAGTAAAAAAAAGACAGGAGTTAAAGGTGTCGCTTCTGTGTGTGTGCGTGTGCGTGTGTGTGTGTGTGTGTGTGTGTGTTAGCGTGCCTTTGGCGTGGTCTTTGTCCAGCTGACTGGCCACTTTTTTCCACTCTTCCATTTTCAGCTCCAGAGGAGTGATCAGACTTTCTGAGAGAGCCCTTAAAAAAAAGGAAGTGAAATAAAGTTAAATTAGAGTTCCAGTTCAACCCACTTTAAGAGAAAAATACCATAAACTGCTCTACAAATGTCATTTAATGGTATAGAAATATTGTTTTTAAAGAGTATTAGTCATCTTTTAAGATGATTACACCTTCTTACACGTTTCAGACTGAATTCTTAATCAATCTTAATGAGATTCTTAGGTTTTATTGGTTTTATTCTTTTCGTTATTAAGTCAAAAACACTTAAAAAGGTTAATTTTATGTTCAGATTTGCCATTATATTGAGGACATTTTGACAGATTAATGTGCAAGTGAACATTTTCACATGCTGGAACCCAACAGGAGAGTCCTCATAGTAAAACTATGTGTCTGAAACTGTTCCCAACTAAAACGATTCACCAAAGGGCTCCTTAATTCTCTGGAGTCGAGCTTTCATCTCAGAACCAGTTTAATTTGCGTTGATTCACGTTATTTTTTCATCCTGTATGCACAAATCGGAGCTCAAGTAAATATAAAAAACATCAAATCTGAGGAATAATATGTGTAAAAACGTGTAATAATAACATGTGTATGTATGTGTTAAATAAAATGTCCACGAAAAACTAAACCCTAAAAATGTCGACTCTTTTTCCCCCATTTTATTACTCTTTATTGTTGTTTCTTTTAATGCATTTTTGTGTATCTTTGTCCTTGCGTGTCGCAAAAAGCGCATCCAAATAAAATGTATAATTAATATTATTATTAATATTATTGTTTCCCCTCTTCCTGTACCAAAAGAAACTGTTTTTAGTCTGTTTTTTTTCCCAACACGACTGAAAACTGGTTTCAAAAACTCCAAACTGTGGACTATGCAGCTTCCCCCCCTTGGCGCCGGATAACATCTTTATCTGGATCACATTTTCTGTGACGCTCTCTTAGAGGAGGAAGGGGGGGCTGATTTGCCCAACAAAAAGTCCTGAGCGGTGTGTGCAGACCGATAACTCAGGAGGCTGCAAACTAAAAATGGAGGCTGTTTGAGAAACCTAAAACCTAAAACTAAAGCCTCTGACTTCTCTCCATGTTTGAATAACTGAATGGCTGTGAGGGTTCACGGTGAGTCGGATAAAGGCTGATAAAGAGGTTTGGCCTTACGTGGTGAACAGTTTGAGTTTGGACTCGATGCTGCGGTGCCTCATGCACATCCTGGTCAGAGCCGAGCCGATCTCCTTGGTAGCACCTGGAAGAATCAGATTGGGGGAGGGGGGTTATTTAATTTGAAGCTGGACGCATCAACAAACGGCAGCTTTAAGTCGAACAAAAATTTGCTTTCCCCAAGCCATGAAAACTTCCTCATGAATGATTATACAGCAGAACCTCTACAGACAAATTTAATTTTGTTCCGGGACCTACTTTCTATGTTAAAATATTTGTATGTTGGTTCAAATATTCCAATAAAAAACACACTGTAATTCTTATAATTCGTTCCACAGCCCAAAAACCTACGATAACGCCTTAATAAATACTGCAGATGATTACACATACAGTAGCAATAAAACAAATGACTTATAGAAGAGAGTTGTAAAAAGAAATAAATTATAAAGAAATAATAAATAAAAGGGTTTATTTATTGGCACTTATTGGTGAACGGAGGTAGAGGTACAGGATGAACCCTAACTTACTCTAACTTTAACTATGTGAACTTTAAACTGACTTAGCTTATGACTTTGGATGTTGGAAAATTGTTTTTTGGGGAAATTGTAAGTCCCGTAGAGGTTCTACTGATAAGCAAACAGACACAAACTCAGTTCATTTCTCCCAGCTCATCTATCTGTTGGACGCAGATCAAACCCTTTTGGTCTTTCTCGTATTTTGCCATTTTTTGATGGGGAGTGTGTGAGTTTTTTTATTTTATTTTTTTTTATTTTCCCGACAGACATTTAATTTAAGTCCCCAATTTGTTACATCTAATGACAAATATTTACTCCAGATCCAAAATGCGGCTTGTAAGAAAGCCAGAACAAGGTTAAAACCATCAAACCTGCACTGGAAAGCAACCAAGACAATGAATATTTCCAATCACTCACAAGTGATTTATCTAAATAAAAAAATAAAAAGATACATGTCACATGTCGTGTTATATGGGTTTATTTGGAGCAACTGGAAGCATCAAATTGATCTTTGCCATGAAAATAGACCAAAAGCCTCTATCAACATTTTATTCTCCAAACCTGGAGCCCTTCCCGAGTTAGGACGTGTTGCGTTTGTGGCTGTGGGTATTTCTGGGTGTGTGCTCCATCCTTACTTCACCCCTCAGGAGAAGCAATCCCATTAAGATCTTAAGATGAGTGTTGTAATGTGTGTTGAAACGTGTCTCTCTTTTCTTTTTAACGCCTCTTTTTCACAACAGGCCCGGGCTGCTTCCAAACCACCGCCGAGGCTCGTCTGAATTCCATTAATCCATCATCACAAATGAAGACTAAGATTTCCTTTTTGCATTTAAGTGAAGTAAAAATGTGCAGAAACTAAATTGAATTTGATTTTTGGATTTTTTTATTCAATACATACATGTAAACCTGTTTCTTTGTAAAACATTTTGTTTTACATCTGTGTTTGAAAATCATTTATATAGGTGTTTTTTACCAAACAAACACATGTAAAACTTTTCCTGGCAGACTTTCTCTTCTCGGTCAGCACATTGTCTCGGGGACACGCTGCTTTTTTTATTTCTTGAACTTTGTCATTGCGTTAGTTTTCAAATAATATTAAGGCTTTTTAATGTGCTGAAGCCATTGATTTTATCGTTTTATTTTTACCCGTAACGCACTTTGGTCGATGTCTCATAAATAGCTTTAACATGATTTGGTTTATGATTAGTTTTATTCAGTACAGTAATTCTTTATCATTGCATGTTTTTAAAGATATGTTAAACTTTGTTTGAACTTATCGAAACCACGTTTAATGTTTATAAAACATTTTAAAAGGTTTATTGATCGTTGTAACTGTTTATTAATTTCTCAAATGTTAATTTTACATCTCAAAAATACCTGAATAACTTAACTTTTTTCTTTTCAAATATCCGTTATTAGTATATCTGTTCCTGATTCTGGATGAGTATAAAATGTACTGACAGTATTTTTGCATTGACTCATTTAGATTTTACCATTTTCAATTCTAAAATTTGCATTATAAAAGTGATTATCGAGATTGGGGGAAGCATCCAGAAATCGAACCCGACCCAGTAAAAACTAACTGTAGAGGGGCGAAACGTCATTTAAAGTTCCTTTAAATTAGAAGTTTCTCCTTATGAATAATGAACAGAAGACATTTAAAATTCACAGACATTTCATAGAAATTAACAACATTTCTTAATGTAGGAAACCGTCCAGACAAGAGTGTTTTGTTTTTTTGTTTTATTGAATTATTACAAATGTTTATGTTAGTTTACACAGAAATGTACACATCCGGTTTCTCTGCTTTTGGTTGCTAGGCGACCTCCGTCGGTTCAGATGTGTCTGGTCGGGACTCCTTAGTCTGTTCCATCCAATCTGCTTTAATCACTTCCAGTTCTTCAGATGCTGGTTCTGGTTTAGATAGAGGGATGGATAGAGATAGAGACATTATTTGAACAATAATACAAATAGAGAGAGAGAGAGAGAGAGAGAGAGAGAGAGAGAGAGAGAGAGAGAGAGAGAGGATGCATGTGGGAGCTAAAACTGTGTTTTTAGCTCCTAGCATGTTGGTCTTTGTAAAGTGAAACAGCCTCTTTTCTCCGACAGTCAGAAGCTTCTTGTTTTCCTCCTCTTTGGTAGCTCAGCTCGCACTGAGAGCTTCTTTCTGTTTTTACGCTGCTGCTTTTTGGACACAGCTTTTGGTTGTTGAGTTCCCTCTGTTCGTTCAGATGTGTCTGGTTGTGTCTTCAGTCCAGTCTTCTTTAATCGTTTCCAGTTTCTCTGATGTCAGCACAGGTTTAGACAGAGATGAATCTTTGGAGGCTAAAACTTGGTGCTTTTTATCTCCTGATTGGTCTGTCTTTGTACTGGCGCAGGTGTTT